TCAAAATCTTTTTTTATCGGTTCTCTTATGTGCTAATTCAAGCTTTATCTTAAACTTTTTTTTATATGTCTGTTCTTGCAAATCTACATACAAAAAGAGCTCAAAACACTCCATCTGGATTGAAGAAAAATCAACCCTAAAAAAGAGAGACCTTCTGTGTTTACTAGAATGTGTTCCGCACATCTATTATCAATTCTACCACTAACTAGCGGACTCTAACACTGCAAGAAAATGAGTTAGACGGAGCAATATGAACGATGATTTTTCAGTGGAGTAGTGTATAATGAAAACTGAAAACTTTGTTTTCAAACTTCCACAAAATTTATTTTAACTCTTATTACTACAGCTGTTTCAACGTTACAGCTATTACAACGGATACAACGTACAAACAGTTAATAAAATATTAAATCAAAAACTACACAAGAAAGCCCTGAAATTAGTTTTTCACCACCAAAGAAAAAACCCAGTACTTTCTGCTCGATTACATATACAGGCAAAATAACAACAAAAATAGCCAAACACATAAAAAAGAAAGGAATAACACCAGCTTTCCGAACAAATAACAACCTAGGCAAATATATTAAAAATAACAAGAGCCAAAATAAAAAAAACAACTTACACAGTGTTGTGTACAAACTTAAATGTGGCGACTGCCCAAAAACTTACATCGGTCAAACTGGTAGAAACTTTAATAAACGAATAGCAGAACATAAAAGAGTTTCAATAATGGAAAAACAGATTCGACATACGCACCTTCACCTTCTAGATCATAATCATTCTTTTAATGACAAAATTTAAAATCCTTCACATTCAAAATAAAGGCCTTAAGCTATCTTTGTTAGAATCTATGGAAATCAACAAATTAAAAAACACAGATATAATTCTGAATGACCACTTGAGACAAACAGTTCTCCCCTTTCATTAGAGACTATAAATTATAAACTTATGCCAAAAATAGATAATTTGAGAAAGGCAATCAGCCGAAACAGCTGTAGTGATAAGAGTTAAAATAAATTTTGTGGAAGTTTGAAAACAAAGTTTTCAGTGTTTTATTGTTACATAAAATGAATTTTCATCAAGTCACGGTCGAATCCATCAATTATATAATGAAAACATTTAAAAGCAATAAAAGTGAAAGTTTGATTACAACTTAAGTAAAAATACTAGCAAGTTTTAATTTTTAATTTTTCAGTTTAATAAAGTCATTATCTCTGGTACGTTACGTTTATTTGTGGTATATTATATTAATTTATTTCTATGGGATGGGTTGTTTTCATAACCGATGGAATATTATTCTTACTTTTATTGACATGCTTGTCTCAAACAGCCCAATGCCAAAGTGGCCCAACTGTTAAAAAAATTACAAATACTTACAAAATTAGCATCAGGATATAGCCCATTACAATCTTAGTAATTTTTAAAGTATTATGCTGCGAATTAAGCAATGTGTTAATTATTTACTTAATTTTTTACATTAACTCGAAAATTTCACTAAAATATTTTGGCTCATATCTCTAGTTTTGATTTCTATCACTTGGGCCACTCTGGTTCTGGTAGCCTGATATATAAAATAGAGAAAGTAGTATTTTGTAAGACTTTCCAAAGTAAATTATTCCTCAAACGAACCCAAAGAAGATTATAAAAAATTTTGTGACCCACGAAGACAAAATATATTTATTTATCAAATCAACTAGTAATCCGTTTAATAAACTTTAAAATATCTAGAAGATCTCTTGAGGAAAAATATCTAGAAACTGATACTAATCTGGATACTTCATGAGCTCTAAATTATTCTATATCTAATTGTTGATGCATATACCGCGAAAATTACAAACGTTATAATATATCATTATACCTCAAAAAGCAATATTTGCCAAGATACAAAATACTGATAGCAGTTACCGCCTATCTATAACTAATCAATAAGTTATCAATTAAGTGAACTTCAATTAAACATTACCCGATGTTCATATTAGTGTTGATGCTAGTATTCGTAAAACTGAATCTGAAAATTAGCTGTCAAGCACCAGATTAGCATATTCAAGCCGGTTTTCCCTAGATAATCTGTTTTCGCACGCTGGTAATGAAATCAACTTAATGTTGGCTTCATTTAGTATAGTCGAGTGCAATTGACGTACACTGCTCAAATAATTAGGGGGAGTCACTTTATGTTTCTATTTTTATTTGACAAAAATGCTATAAAAATAAAATAACATGAACACATATTCAGAATATTAAATACAGTGAAACCTAGGTTAAACATAAGCCTGTCTATAATGAGTTACCTGTATTTCAAAGTAAAAAATGAAACCTTTTCCATTTAAATCCAGTCGTGATAAGTATTTTTTCATTTATGACTATAAACGTATATAATTGAGGGTTCAGAATAAAAAATCAACCACGTCTACTTTATCTACATTTTGAGCTAAACAGGTTTAAAGTTAAAGCTTTATAATAAAATTGCCCGTTAACATTTTTAAAAGTATATATTCAATTTAAGAAGATCAAGGAGTAACTTAGACCTGTACAGTGCTTATATTGGCCAAATTGATGTACTAACCCCAAAATATGCAAAAAAAATGGACTTATTTCAAATGTATTCTAAATAATGTTAAATTAAATTAACGGTAAAGCCACTACCCTGAAACGAAACACAATCTATTCCCGTCGTAGACAATAGTTATCAAAATAACTATATACGGACGTAACTACGCCATCTAATAACAAGAAGAAAAAAAGATGGTTTTATTAGATGGCGTAGTTACGTCCATATATAGTTATTTTTATAACTATTGTTTTACGGCGGCAATAGATTTTGTTTCGATTCAGGGTAGTGGCTGTATTGCTCTGAGGATGACCTAAAGAAATCTAGTACCGTCAATATGTTTTATTTCTTTACTTCGTTTGTAGTAACCAGAAATTGAATTCACTACAAATTTTGACCACGATGAACAGCATGTGGAATGCAATCTTGGATTCCCTTGCCGATTAATGTATCAAGCTGTTTACTTTGCAAGTTTTAGAAAGCACAGTGATAAAAATTTGAATTGATTTCGCCAGGTAGAAATCGTGTGATTTATCTTTTTAATAATTAGAATATTAAAGAAAAATATCACTTCTTAGGTAAAAGGAAAAATTAATTGACACAAAAAATAACCAATCGTCGCCATATCGTGTCCTTTAGTTGCTTCGTTGTCCTGAGTTTTGCTGATTCTCTGATATGTTTCTGAATTATCCATGACGAATAATGGAGTATGTCCTTTTTTCTTTTAAATTCATTTATCTTTTGGTTGAGTAAACCTGATACTGCTGTCCAATCAACAAGGTTGGCACTTTCAACCGTGTTCTCTAGGCCATATTTTACTTGTCTTTTTCGAGATGTCCAAGGTTCGGAAACTCAAAATTTCACTTAAAGATTAATTTATTTTGATCGGAAAGATGCTCGTTTTTTAAACCTCAACCACTGTATTTTAAGCCAATTAATTTTATCTACCTTTAGTGTACTTTTTCCTATTTGTGATTGAATCTTCGAGGAATATTGTGTTTAGAAACGCTTCTAGTTGTAGTTTTACAACTTCTAACTGAAGCTTTTTTACTTTTGCAGTTCTAATAAAGTTATACCAGTCGTCAGGTACATTTATGGTCCTATGTTTCTTGTACTGAGTACTGAAAGTAATGAACACACGCCCTCATCTGGTTAATACTACCAAAATTAGAAAGACGTCATATTTATGACAAATAATGCGCCATAGGGAATTTAAGCAGCTCCAGGTAATATTAGAGGGCAAGATTGAAGGTAAAAGAAGCATAGAGATTGGACCCACACATAAGAGGAAATAAATTAATTCATCAAGCCCAGAACAGAGAGAAATTTGCCATATTGATCGCCAACCTCAACAGAAGAGGCACTTAGGAGGAGGAGGATGTTTCTTGGCTGCTCATTTTTATTATACCGATTTTCCTAAGGCATGAAACTAGATCTTCAGAAACCCTTCCACCATTAGTCTCATCCCAGACATGCAGATAGGCAGTGAATTGTCAAAGTTGTAGATATCAAGATTTCACTTATAGTAGTATAGTATTGAAGTTGTGAGTGAAAATTAAGTGGCAGACGTAGCTCAGTGGCTATGTTTCTGGCTTGACAAGCTGAAGGACCCGGGTTCGTATTCCGGTACCGACAGAATTTTCAATTTCTAATTTAACTGAGCTGCCACCGTATTTCGGAAGGCACGTAAAGCCGTCGGTCCCGGCTACGAAAGTAGTCGTTAAATCATGTTAGGAGTTGCTTGTGCGACCTGAGAACTGTAACACTAGACCTTAGCCAGAAGGTTACACGAAATTTACTTTTTTTAGGTAAAATTAAAATATTCAGTCATTCGCAATTCTCAATTTCACCCATTTGGATCAATTTTACCCCATTTTCCGGTAAAGAAATAGCGTACCTTTGACAAATACACTCGTCACAAATTTTTAGAAGGATGACTCCAGAATATACGATCTTTGGCGTTATTAATAGAGGCCCTGCTCTTCTAGAACATACCGACGCGGTGAATAGAGATGGGCTACAACAGATGACTATGGAATAATACTTTTGATATCTATACGCAGCGCTTTTAAGAGTTGAGTTAGTTGGTAAAATACTATCGTGCTATAAGTTTATAAATAAATAGTTACATAAAAATTCGAAACGCTGATTTTATTTTAAAAACACGTTGAAATACCTTACTGATTTATGTATTATTTTTAAAGTTATTTAAGTTGTTTATCCCAAACATTTTTTTGCAATAAATATATAATAATATAAAAATGAAACTAACTAGATAAAGCAAATAAATATCTACGTATAAGATAGTAGCTGTTGTAAAAATGTCAGAAAACAGTTATCTAAAACAGTATTTTTACAATTTTTGATTCTACTTAGCACCGATCAGAACTACTGGCATGCAGATTAGAACAAATGGCGTTCTTAAATTGTTTTGAGCAGTGTAATTCAAGAAGTAATATTTTTTTTATGCACCGTTTTGTATTTATATATAAATCTCATATAAATCTTACAACCAACAGGTGACCATGCCTTCGAATTAAAAAAACGTCGATCCCATAGGCTAATTTCGTGGGTTGAAATTCCACTAGGATATTTTTCTGACAGCGTAAGTTTTAACAATAATGGGGTTATACAATAATGTTTTTATATAATTATATGAATTATAATAAATAGCTAAAGTAAATAAACGCAACTCCAACAAATATTTAAAAATATTTTGAAATTAAATTAGTAAAAGAATTATCGATAGTGACACAGGTTTTAATAGCGTAAAAACCAATCCTCATTTGCTGTAATTTCTTTTATTTAATAGATTGTTGTGTAATATTTCTCGATTTGCAGTTGAATTCCATTGGTTTCTATTTTTGTATATTTTTCAATTAGTTTATAGGTACAGTTGGTTCCTAAAAAAACTGATAAGACTCTTACAGCGTATTTTATAGAATATTGAGCAGTGTATTTTGAAGGACGGTCACTGTCACTGCCAACTCTTATAATTGGTCAGATAACTTATTTTGTTTAACCTCAAAAAAATGTCTCCACATGCTAGCAAAGAACTAAAAGAAAGAATTGTAACGAAATTAGAAGATGGTTGGTCACTATCTGCCGTAGCGAAATCATTTTTAACGTAAGCAGAACAACAGTTTTTAATATTAATAAAAGATGAAATCAACAAGAAACTGTCGAAAGAAAGCAAGGTTTTGGAGACCAAAAATATATATCGCTAATGAAGATCGTACGCTTTTAAAGAGATCAGAGGAAAATTCTTTTAAAGATGCGAAAACTGCAAGAATTATGTCACAGTTTTCGGAAAAACGACAAGTCAGCGCAGAATTAAAGCATCGCGTCTTAGGTACCGACCTGCAGCAAAATAAAACAAGCTCTTATACCACAACAGAAGCAATCAAGACTTTTACTTGCTTTAAATGATTAGCTACAAAATAAAGATCTTTGGGATAGGGTATTATTTACAGATAAGAAAATTGAACAATCTTCCAAAAAAGGAAAAATTTGGGTATATAGACAAAATAATAATAAAACTTTAATAGTATACAAGGCAACTATCGAACACAGTAATTAATTAAATCTTGCCTTCACTTGGATAAAAACTCCAAGTTTATGGTTAAAAAAAAAGGTTATTATGTGATAAACGTTTATAGAATTACTTCGTCAGTTGTGGCCTATCCGACATGAGTAGAATGTCATACATGTAAATTTGGACATAACAATACAATACACAAAGACAAACAAACACTTTAAAATTTTTAAAAGGAGAAGCTACATGTTATATAGAAGCCGGAGACAGAACGGGCTCCAGGTCTTGCGGAAATATTGAGATGACATGTGACAAATGACAGCTTGTAAAGGGCAGTTATGTGAACTGCACCTTTTAAAATTCTATGAAACTAAGTATTGACAAAGGTCCAACTGAGACCACTATAGGAAATTAACTGATGAAATATAAAAATTAGTTTATTTTTTTATGTAGATTGAATAATCCAAATCTCACACTCAAACCTATCTATAATAATTAGGTAATATTAGGACATAAGTATGAATGTAAGAAAAGACTAAACAATATATTAGACAGTGGATGGTTGACTACAAAAAAATGGTCCACCAATCGCTATCAGTACTGTAAAAAGGAAAATCTGATTATGCAGTTAAATTACTAAAAGTTAAAATCAAAATTGAAAGCAAAATATATAAATGGGTTATAATCCAAGTAGTTCAGTTGAATCCACAGTCAATGGAAGAACTTTTAAAATTAATATTGAAATGCTCAGTTCATGAAGTCTAAACAGTCGAGCTGGGTCCTCTACGAGGTGAAGCTGTAATAAAGTTGTAATTTGAAGCTGTAATCCAAACCAACCACTACTGGAAAAATTTATAATCAATCCGACAGCAGTTCTAACTTAGGTATACGCTCCATCATACATATCCTTCACGAGCCTTACCTACTTTTCAGGAACCCTTCTCAAGATCCATTAAATATTAAATGTCGCTTTCTTTTCTTTAAACTGTATTTCTCTATTGACTGTCTCAATATCGACTGGCGTTAACCCAAACTTTTCTTCTTCTATCGATGTTTCTCTCCTTAATCTTTGCTCTATAGTTGTCCCCCAAATTTTTATTGTCTGTGACATAAACTTTATCTCTCTTTAATTTTTAACAGGTCTTAATATCCCCTTTGTCTATATACAAAGATACCATCACACTATCTCTTCATGCATTGGTATTCTTTGTTTCTTATATATCCTTATCATTTGGCAAATATAATCAACCGTTACCTCTTCTACAGTCTTTTAAACCTCCACTGGTATTTCATCAGGTCCTACAAACTGCCTGACCGTTCTTCGTCTTATTTAACGCCTTGACAACTTCATCCCTCGCTATTTCCGGTATTACATTTTCAAATTTGGAAACCCTAAGGACTTTTTGCGCTTCTTAAATATTATTTTAAAGTTAAGATAATTGAAATAGGTATATTTTAAGAAAAATACGTGTTTTGAAAATGAAAGAAATAGAAGAGAAGAAGGATACAAATATACTCTAACTAAAATATGTCCTCTTGTTGGCTCCCTTAAGAATATTTGTAGAAATTTAAGAAAATTATCGTACCTCAGTTGGCTTTTTTGAGAATAAGTTTTGTGTTAAATGTAAAAAAGCAAAATTAAAATAAAGTTAGCTTTATTGGCTATACACTGTCACAATCACTGTGACTGTCATCGTAGATTATTGTGCTCCCTTTGATAAACTCAACTACATAACAAAATTTATTAAACAAAACTATATACATATGTAAACTGTCTGACCATTGTGTAATTTCTAATTTTCAGATGGCTGGTGCAGATCCAAAATGGCAGAAGGACGCCGCCGACCAGAATTTCGATTACATGTTCAAATTGTTGATAATAGGAAACAGTTCGGTTGGCAAAACGTCGTTTCTCTTTAGATATGCCGATGATAGCTTCACGTCAGCGTTCGTCAGCACCGTCGGAATAGACTTCAAAGTTAAAACTGTTTTCAGACATGACAAAAGGGTCAAACTACAAATATGGGTGAGTTTGCAAAGCGATATATGTCAAAGGACAATGTTGGTTTTATAAATAGACATCAAAGATGGCTGTAAAGTAAAGTTTGTTTTTGTTTCACATCTATCAAATAAAAATAACGAAATTTTCTACTTAAACTTGAAAACTAAATAAAAACTTTAGTAACAATTAAGCTTTATTTTCTCTTTAAAAACGTGTATAACTTTTCGTTGTTGATATTTTATGGAAATTATAGTCAATAAACTTTCATTTATTTAATGACTGGTTGTTTGTCTAGTTTATACCATTAAAAAAACATTTATTATTAAAAAATTTCATTTTGTTTAACGCTCGAATACGGGATTGTTTTTGCCAAATGTAAATACGGGACTACCGTTAATTTTACTACTCCACAGAAAGTCCAGATATACGCTACAACAACAGCTGCATAAGAAGAAGACATCAACAGGTTCTATGCTCGTCTAAAAAGAAACTGTTATCGCTATTTCGAATCGTATAACTAATCATAATTTTAGACTTTTAAGACTTTAACGTCAACGTAGGGAATTTAATGAAATATTGAAGAAGCGCTGGATAAAAATGGACTAATACAGACAAATTAAAATGGTGACTGTCTAGTAAAGTTCTGTAAAGAAACTACATCTTACAATTGCCAATACGCTCTATCAACATCATACCCTGAGATTATATACATGCGCAGCCCAGATGGACTTACACAAAAAATCAAATAAACTACATTCGAATAAGATCAAGATGACAGTCGTCGGCCATCAACTATAAACCATATTCTAGCGCAGACTGTGGAGGCGATCATCAACTTCTGGTATTAAACTTTCGACTTTTAAAGTCCCCAAAAGAAGACCCATAAGAAAAGCCGTGTCTCTAATGACTTCAACAAAACCTAGAAGCATTTTTCTTAAAGCCAAGTAGATAGCGACCCTAAGAGCATTTCGATCTGTCTCAAAGATAAAGTAATCGAGGTTGCAAAAGACTGTGGCAACGGTTTCCACGGGCCGTAGGGCGTGGATATCCGATAATACGTGGACTGCGATTCAACGCAAAAAAGAACATAAAACTAGATACGGACGAAATAATAAATAAAGGCCGTTATTAAAAGACATCAGAAACGGTGCTGCAAACACAAAGCTGATTACATCTCTCAAATATGTAGAGAGATAGAGAAACATGGCTGTTGAAATGAACGAGAGTACATACGAGGTACCAGCAAAAAAACAGTGGCCCGCTGAATACTCTAGAGAACCTACTGTTTTACTCACTGAAGTAAAAGAAACACAATTAAATTGCTAAAGGGACATAAATCCCCTGGCATTGATTTAATCAGACAGGGATGCATAATCTCGCCAACTCTATTTTTATATCTACATCGTAACACATTATGCTACATGTACTAGAGGGATCGAAGGATGAAATATCAGTAGGAAGTCAAATAATCAGTATTTGGAGATATGCTGATGACACTTTTATAATCGCGACATGTAATAGAAGAAATAGAAGACATAATGAGATGTTTGGAGAAAAAAAGCAAAACATATGGAAATAAAGCTAAAATAGGAGTAAGGCAAAGATCATGATAGTAGACAGAGCTTCGAATATTCTATCGACACATTAAAAAAAATTGGTGGCTTTGATGTAGTACTTTCATATACCTGGGGTCCCTAATAACAAATGATGAAGGGTGTGACAGAGAGATACGTAGAAGGCTGACTATTGTTAGAACAGCTATGATGAAACTGGTAACAATTTGGAAAATTCTAACATAACAATTCACACACAAACTGAGGCTAGTAAGGGCACTCATTTTTCTCATAGCCACATATGCATCCGAAACGAGGACTTTAAAGAAAGCGATAGAAATAAACTAGACGCTTTTGAGATGTGGTATACCGCCGCATGTTAGGAATATCCTGGATTGATCATCGTACTAACTTATCGATATTAGAACAACTTAAAAGGAAAGGATATATATTACTTAAACAAATACAATAGAGATATTTGAAGTATTTTGGACACATTACTAGAAAAACAGATGGAAAAACTGATAGTCGAGGGTGGAGTTTGAAGGAAAAAGACTTAGAGAAATATCTCCAAGCCGCTGAGTAATCAAACAAAATATTGATTAACCAAGGGTTACATGAAGTTAAACAACTAGCCCAGGACTGGGCAGGAAGGAGGGAAATCGTGAAAAAAACTGTAAAAGCATGAAATGGATGATCAGGTAAAGTAACAGTGGCTGGTAGGAAAATCTCTAATGTAAGATTTACTGATGACACTACCCTTATTGTAGCAAATAAGCAAGTATTGTTTAATCTCCTGCGAAAAGTTTGAGTACGAAAATAATAAAGTTGATCTGAAAAATCAATAAAGCTAAGACAAAAATAATGGTGGTCGACAGATTCCACACTATTTAACTGACAAATATGTTGACTAACTGACAGCAATACTAGATCGTGGACAGTTTTGTCTATCTCATTGTCTAGTATAACTAACGATGGTAACTGTAAAGCAGAAGTTTGGAGACGTATTGGTATAGCAAAAATGCAGTAAGTCGCCTAATTTAAAGTTTCGAAAGACTGGTCTATCTCTCAAGATATCAAAATGAGACCGGTGAATGTCCTCGTCTTCTTAAGATTTCTATACGGCAAAGACTTGTGCTCTTCGGTGAAGCGAGCGCCATAAATTGATGCCTTTGAGATGTGGTGCTGAAGAAGAATGCTGCGCGTACCTTAGACAGCTCATAGGACAAACGTTTTCATTCTTAACCAACTGTATTAAAAGATTACTGAGATTTAAAAAAACGCTGTATATCAATATGTCTGCAACGTATTCTGCAATGTTTAAGTAACGTGGTTCGCATAGGAGACGATAGTTTGGAGAGATTAATTGTTTTTGGAAACGTTCCGGGAAAAAGAACAAGAAGACGATCACCAACTAGATGGTCTGACCAAATTAAGAATTTTTTGGAAACTTATTTTGCAAAGCTCTCAAAGCAGCTAAAGAGAAAGACTAATGGAGAAAAATTGTTAGAAATATTGGAAGAAATTACGATCCTTAGTAATGGGGAAATGACAAGACGAGACAGAGACAAAAAGCCTATATTTTTTAATTTGCAATTTTTAATTCATTATGTAGAAAAAAAAATAAGATTTTCAGTTTAAAAACAAAAGCATAAAATTATAAACAAATATTATTTTGGGTATTTTTAAGCACATTGGGTACAAAATTCTCGTTGGTGTTCTCCACAATTTGGCTTCTTGCACTCCTTGCAATACTATGGTGGTCATGCATCGTCTTTTGCTTGGACAGTAGAAACAAGTCTTTCGCTTATTTTCATAGGTCATATTAGCATTATCTTCGTTAGTTATGTTGAGCCTTTTAGCTATGTCTTGGCAAATATATCAACGTAAACTTTCGGTATTGTATCTGTTTAGAATCCATAGTTTTGCAAGACAAAGGTTTAACTCAGTCATATATTATTATTTGCAGATAAGTTTTTCATTTTATTTAACAAACTAAAAGGCCATATTTATCATTCCATATTATACGCATCATGGGTATCGTACCGTATAAATATTAGAACACATTTGGTCAAAGGTGTCTTTGGTGCTTTGATTTTTAATTATAGTTATGTATTATGGATGGTTTACCGCTTTCTTCTGCGATTTCTGCTACATCGTGTATTGTTAAAAGTAACAAAAACTACTTTGTTTCTCTTTGGCATGTAAGATACTTTAAGATCTTCTACTTGTACTTCTATGAAGAAATGTGATTTTTGATGATTCTGAGTGTAGAATTGGAACCAATTTTTACTCAAAATTTTATACATTTAATACCTTCTTTGATAATAGCCTTACGCACACTAGTATCTGCTTGTTTGTTTCCTTCTATACCTATATGAGATGGTATCCAAAGGAAGTAAATTCTTCTAAAATGTTCTTGAACTTTCATTTGTTCGGCGTTAAACATTTTCTCAATGAAGTGTTTAAGGTGTCTCAATGGGGAGTTAAATTATAATTTTAGCTTAATTAAGATGTATCACTTTCCAGTTCGATGCCCCATTACCAAGGTAATTATAGATTTTTTTCTTAAGGACGTGAATTTGCGTTCTATAGATCTTTCATTTAAATGGGAGTAAATTTGACTAAGCATATTGGACAAGGCTTATAGGTCTTTCGTATAATCTTGAATTGTGCTTATAGGATTTGTTGGTTCAGTCATATTCATTGGTAACATGTTAAGTTTGTCAAAGTTTAGAGTATGGGCTCCAGATTGATGTTCTATAAAGTTTTTTAGCAAGTTCATCGAAAACAGATAATAAGTAAAGAAAAGAAATAATGTAGCCACGATTCCTCTTTTAGTGCTCGCATTGTAATTACTTCGTTTTCAATTTGTTTATCACTGTTTGTCATAAAATAAATTTGAAGAAACTTGTGATCTGTGGTTAGCCATGTCGTTTGGAACCATGTATGGTATTGTATTTGCATGATGTTTTCCTAGAAATGCTTCGACTCACGTGTAACACCTAAAATAGCAACGTTTACAGTAGATCTGGTGGTGGATGTAATTCTGACTTTTTCACTGGCGCAGCACATTACTGGCGTTTCGTTCTTAAATTTGAGGATGCTATAATATAATACATGCAAATTTTATCAATTTTTTCCAATTACGATACTTGGCTAAAGACTGTAATGCTTATAACTGTTATAATGAAATTCACCAAGATTAAAATCAGCATGCAGTGTTCGTCTTGATCGAAAAGTTCTTATTCGAACATTGTCTGAGACGAACGGGTCTAAGTAGTACGTATTTGATCAGTTTCTAACCTCACTACTGATTGTTGAGATGACTCAGACGAATGGGGTCTCAGCCGCATATATTCGAATATTTTTCAGCCTTAATACTCGTTGCTCATCTGATTCTGAGGCTCGTAATGCTTTTTTTTCATGCGTGAGTTATAGATCTGCCAATTGCGTGTCGATTTTAGGCATAATTGTACGGGAACGATGTAAAAAATGCGTCTGAATTTATTAGATGTCAATCAGAAATTCAATTCCTACAATATATCCAATCCAATCCAACTAGCTGTTCACTCGCAAATGGTTAATATTAAACTGCGATCACCAATTCGCTGAGGAAAAACTTGAAATGAAAAAAATCAGTATTCGAGAATTGTTGAAATCGATTTTAATTAAATTTACAATAATATTCGATTGATTTATTTTATCTATTTTTATTTATTTTACTCACAATTAAATACACAGAACTATTCGAAAAAGGCTATACAATAAAAAAAATAAGCACAATGTCTCCCACAACTCAAAATGCCATCATTTGTTTTCGCTGTCATCGCTGTTTTAGTTTTATTTTATTATTTATTTCTAACTCGATGTTATTTATCTATGGTTTTTAATTTAAATCAGCGTGAACTGTCACAGCAATAGATTTTTATGAAATTCATTGGAATGACAGTGGCGCCATCTGTCAAAAATTGGTCGTATTAACTTAGAAACTTTTGTAGGCTCATGCCACAATAACTTTGCTAAATAGCAGCACAAGATTCAATTTCATAGTTTATGAACGACATACAGATATAAGCTACATAAAGTTTTACTGGAAGATATATTTTACACATTTCGTTTAGCGTAATGGACAGAAAACAATAATTTAATCAATTGTGTTCGTTTATGATCACCATGATATACGGAAGATCTTTTGATTACTGTCAACTTTAATTTTTAAGTTTAAGTTATTTTGACAATCAGTTTAACATATTTTGTTTATATCCATTGTATATATGTTTATCTTATTGCTTTGGAAAACCTCCAACTTTCTGATCACTTTGAGCTACCATACGATTTATCTTCTTCTGTGTTATTTTCTTTGTAATTTTTAAAGTGGATATATGAATTATCTCGTTATATTCGTTTTTGTATTTTAAAGGTAGATAGTTTTGTTACTCTTTTTTTTATTTTATAAAAAATTTCGCAATATGATCCATTTTACGATACAACGAAATCAGTTTGACTATGGTTAAATTAATGGCAGAAAAACAATATTGTTTGTTCGCTATGCCATGCTGAAAGTACAAACTAAAATGAGTTAATCCTCGTTCGTCAGCTGACAAAATTATCTACACTATTTGACAGATTGATCTTTAAACAAACCCTCTCAGAGATATTTCCGGCGGGTTATAATTCAGTTTGGGGATGAGACAACTACATCTGATGGTGTGTCAATATCCGTGGCGAGAGATTTCATTTTTGCCAGCTATTGGAGTTGACGTTTTATTTTACCGCGGAAAATGGATATATGAGGCTACTGTATTAAATATCGATTTATCAGCAGGATTAGTTTTCAATGCTGGAATTTTTCCACCGCGTGATAAAATACTGAACTTCAATTTCTAAACCGAGAAAAAAAATATGTTGGAAGTATTAGAATAGTTTGCCATTGGAACTTGATATATATTTTTGTAGTTTATCAATTTACCCAATAATTGGCAAAAATTGTGTTTTAAATAAATAAGTGCCAACAAAACCATCATTATGAATTTAAAATAATAATATCAATACAAAAATAATTACAAATATTTTATTTTTCAGGACACTGCAGGGCAAGAGAGATACAGAACTATTACCACTGCATACTATAGGGGAGCTATGGGATTTATTCTAATGTATGATATTACAAATGAAGAATCATTTAATAGTGTACAGGATTGGTATGTACAACAAAATTTTTTTTTTAGATTATTTTTCCCATAATTAAGTTTTTTTTTAAAGTTATTAAATATTGGTTGAAATAATGCATACTTTAGTTTTAGTATAAAAGTTATTACTAGTAGACTAGAAAAAGTATATAATGCAGCGTTAGGTAAAATCATTTTACTACATTTTCTTTATTGTATGCTTTTAATACAAGAAATTTGGAACTTCCAGGAAGCAAACGACTTCCCATCATTCAACTCATTCACATCAAATGCTGAAAGTTTCTTTCAAACGTTTTCAGTCATTTAGTTATTGCGAGATTTGATACTAGTTTATAGTGATACATATAATATTATGCGTCCAATTTCTAGCTCTCAATCCTCTATTTCATTTGTCTGCTGTCTACCTCCGACTAGTTCTCACGTGCCTACTTTCAGTAATCAACGTGCCCCCCAACTCCATTTGAGATACTGTACATCACTAGATAACATCTACAATACTGACGAGTGGCCTCACGTTAATCCATGATCCTAAACTTCCACCATATTTTCATAGCAATGTTTGTAAAAGAGGATATAAACCCGGATATCTGTTTTTTCAAGCAACAACCTCGAAGACCGATGTACCAAAGTAGTATATGGTCCCATACCAAAAACTAAGCATAGACCAATTGGTAATAAATATTTTCCCATTTGTCAGACCACAAGCTTTTCCATTCAGAAGGAGATTTTACTTCAAAAAGGCAAACTTTCAAAAGTATGCAGACATGCTAGATTTTGAACTATTCCGCCTTGATCCAAAAGTAAAGAACTACGAAAAATTCGTAGAGGTACTCAAAAATGTGTCTAGAAAAACTATCCCTAGCGGATGTAGACAACAATATGTTCCCAGGATGTCCAGCGAGTCCAAAGGACTAATGAGAACATACGAAACCCTCTATTTCACTGACCCTTTCAGCAAGAAACGGTTGACTGAAAACACGCAGAGGCGCTGGCAGAACACATAGAGAAAATTAAACAGATCGCGGACGATCGGCATGCCCTATACAAAGCTCGAACACCCCGAAAGCGACTAAAATCTAGGAAAAGCTTCCTTGGAACAGTGCAGGATAAACCGCCTGAGTATTTTCCACTTACCCAGGTTCAATGGACCGGCCAGACCCTAGACTTTAAAACGTGGAAAATCTTGAATAGGATAAGAACGGGAGTTGCTACAGTAAAATCAAACATGGCAAAATGGGAAAAATAGACCAAGATGATGTGAATTGTGACTATGGAGAAACACAGAATATGGAACATCTTACATGCAGAAACTGCCCTCATCGATGTACCCTTGAAGATTTGTGGCTCGCCAACAAAGATGGAACCGACGTAGCTCGATACTGGGCCGAAATTTTATGAATGACATGTCCGGACACGACAAAGTAAAGTAAGTATTTACAATACTGGTTCATCTTTGAAAGCGTTTTGGAAATATAAATGATACGCAACATAGATATATACATAGAGGTAACTACTTCATAATTCTTCTTATTAATAGGCAAAGCGCCTGTTCAGTCTTCGGTATCTGTACAAAATCACATTGCGATTTTAAATCGCTCATTTCGTTTTCTCCCTGTTAGTTATTTGTTTATTAATAACCACACTTTGATAAATTTATTATTATAACTATGTCATATAAAGTTTATATAATTACCATATATCAATCTATTTTATAGGGTAACTCAAATCAAGACATACTCCTGGGACAACGCTCAGGTTATTTTGGTGGGAAACAAATGCGACATGGAAGACGAAAGAGTCATCAGTTTCGAAAGGGGAAAACAACTAGCTGAACAACTTGGTGTAGAATTTTTCGAAACCAGCGCAAAAGAAAATATTAATGTAAAGGTAAAATAATTTTTTTAAAACTACAGCAATCAATATTTAATTAACTTAGTTCGACATACATTATATAAGTGTTAATGAGACTTTGGGGAATCTTATTTTCTCGCCAATTGTGTATTTGGATGGCACGTAAATCTTTTATACTGTTATTCCTCCATCTGCATATGAGTCTCCTGCCGGTTAGATTATTCTCTCATATCTTTTTCATGATCTGTTCCTCCTAGGCTCTATGCAAATATCCTACCGACTTCAGTCTTTAGGCTTTTATCCCGGAAATGATGTTTTGGTTAGTAATACGAGGATTTTATAAATGGACGATTTTATAGAAATTAAATGTTTTTTATTGGCAAATAAACGAGTTCCTTATTATGTGTAATTAGGCGATCAGAGGTTATGCATTGCTCAAAAAAATGTGAGTACAAATCCTACAGTACAAATACTATGCCTTCATATAAAATGTTACAAGATACATATTTTATCTATTCATAATTTCTTTATGAGCTTTGCTGTATCCGAAATATTCCGCTAAATTCCTAAATCAGGATATTTTCCTTCATTTTATTTTCCTCCAAAGTAACTTCTTAGTCTGCGATAAGTGCAATAATTTTTTCAAATATTCGACGTATAATCCACTTGTACTGAGTACTATCTTTCACCACAGAGTAACTACACCACATAGCAGCATTAAACACATTATTCTTTAAAGTATTAACTCATGTTTGTACGGTGCAGTGCAGATCTAAAAGTGGGTTTTTTGAGAATAAAATGAATACAGAATTATTATACTACGTAAAAAGAGGAGAATTTGTTCTGAATAAACGTACACTCATTAACAAAACCCAAATGGTTGATCAAAATGGCAAAAATCAGCCGTACACAGTTAGGTTTTCGGAACACAGTGGGTACGAGAGACGTTTTCTCTCACATACAAGTGCTATTTCGACGATGAACAGATGAGAATTGCGATATTTATGCATGCTTCATTACCATAAATCGTTCAATACAGTAAACCACGACAATCTGATGGAGATATTAACAAATATTGGAATAAACACCTGTGATTTATAAATTATTAGCAACCTTTACTGGAATGAAACATCGTCTATCCATACAGAGGTAGGAGAATCCAATGATATCAAAATCAAATGTGGGGTCCGACAGGGATGTACACTATCACCCTTATTTAACTTATTCTATGAGGAAATATTTCAAGAAGCAATAGATGGTGTTAAATCCGGAATTCGAATTAACGGAGAATGGATCAATACCATCAGATACGTGGATGGCACAATGGTATTCGCTGACAGTTATAAAGCCTGCCAGGAGTAAATGAATAGAATCACAGAAGTAAGTCAGAGATATGGACTTTCACTCAACATTAAAAAAATAAAAATGTATGATGATCTCTAAGTATGAACACCAAATTTAACAATCAGTGTGAATAGTCAAACAATAGAAAGAGAAACAACAAACACCTACTTTAGTGCGATCGTCAATGAAAATTGGGCCCCCTAAAAAAATGTAATGCAAGACGATTGAGGCTTTCAACATGCGTCTTTTATCGTCGAATCCTGAAAATATCGAATACTAAAAATATCGAATACTAACCAGGACGTTTTATTAAGAATGTAAAAAGGAAAAGAATTGCTTGCCACAATAAAAACAGCCAAAAGCGAAGACATCGGTTACATCGTAAGGAACAGCGAAAGATATTCATTGTTGCAATTAATTCTACAAGGAAAAGTATAAGAACCAGGTAAGAACCAGATAAAGGGACCAGGAAGGCGAAAAAGTTTCCTGGCTGAAAAATCTACGTACGTAGTTCAACACAACAATGCCAAATCTTCTCAGGACAGCAGTTTGCAAAATACAGATTACCAATATGGTCGGTCGCCTACATCCGAAACGGATAGGCACTACAAAAAGCAATAAGAAATGGTTGATAAATAACCTCGTGTTTCTCTGTAAAATGAAAATGGGATTAATAACATTTAAGTTTAACAAATACAATGTTTCAGATGTAGTTTGTTCTGAATGAAAACAAATTTGTATATGGTATACATTTTTATTAAATTAATAGAAAGAGATAAATTAGTATTAGTTTAATGGCAGAATCTGCTAGTCTTATGTTATCCATGCCTTCCACATAATCTTCAACAACAGCTAAATCATCTGGAGCATCTTGATTTCTGTCTGGAAATCATCTTCTAGCCCCAGATTGTGTCTTTAGGTTTCCTCAAAGCGGTATAGCCACTACTCTAAATCGAAACAAAATCTATTCCCATCGTAGACAATACTTATCAAAATAACTATTTACGGACGTAACTACGCCATCTAATACCAAGAAGAGAAATCAAACGATTTCTACCTGTCGAAATCGAATTCAAATTTTTACCACTGTGCTTTGCTCTGAGGAGACCTCTTTATGTCTCCTCAGAGCAGTATAAGAGGTCGAACTACGTATAAGCGGCTTGCCGCTGCTCTGTGTCGAAATAAAAATCTAGTACCGTCATTATGTTTTATTTCTTTACTCCGTTTGGAGTACCAGAAATTGAACTCCCTACGAATTTTAACCATGATGAACGGCATGTGGAATGTAATTTTAGATTCCCTTGCCGAGTAATGTATCAAGCTGTTTGCTTTGCAAGTTATGTTAATAACTATTGTCTACGACGGGAATAGATTCTGTTTCGATTCAGAGCAGCGGCTTATACCGCTATGAGGAGATTTAAAGAGGTCGAAATACATATAAACGGCTTGCCGCTGCTTTGTATCGAAACAACAATCTAGTACCGTCGTTATGTTTTATAAAAAGAGTAATAAAAATGTACAAATTATATACATTTGAAATAGAAATGTACTTACGTCCATGTTATACTGTTTATTTATTGATGTTTAAAAATTCCGATAATAATAAAACCTTTAACTTCAAAATATTGTTAGGGTTAGGAATTTGATTCAACCAATTTGAACTGTGCAAGTCTCTGATTCAAAATAAGCAGAAAATCTGCACAAACTCTTTTGACTATCACCAACTAATCCACAACTTTAAAGGTTTGTTCTCCTTGTTATTCTGCGAACGAAAAAACTAAAAAACGCATGCGTCGTGCAGTTGCTGATGCCTGTGCGAACAAACCTTATGATTATTAGGTTATATACAGATTGAACGAATTTAAAACGGAACATAGGAAATACATGCTCTACTTCGCTTTAGGTGCTTAGCCAACAAAAGGTTGTCAAATAAATATATTATATAAATCCAATACTTCAGCGGGCGGCTGGATTCTGAATTCGTTGTTTAAAACAGGTGAAAACTCCCCCAAAAAGGTTGCCCCGCCCATCACGTATCAAAATTAAAAGCTACACTTGTACAATTCAGCAGTGTTAACCGGAGGAAAATGTTCGTTATTTATTTATTTATCTCACGTTTGATGAGAGAAATCACATACAATGAAATTCGATCAATAATGAATTCAATAACGACGTATTTCAGTTGAGTCAATTTATCTTTACCCGTGCATCATGATTTAAAACATACGAAATCAGTAGGAAATTTACTCAACGCAACAGAAAGTGGCAGAAAATGGTTATGACAATCTGTGTGAATAACGTTAACCTTAAGGAAAATTAACGGCAAATTAAAATACACTTACCATAAAATTTTCAACTGCAATATAAAGTTAGTTGTGAAAATAACTGTTTGTGTAATATAAATAATTCCAAAATGTAAAAACAGGACAAAAAATAGCAAAATAGTCAACAAAACTGACAGCCACAAAAGTAAACAAACCAGAAACGTCAAAAATTGTTCTCACAATCTAAAAACGTTTATATACAATAGGATATATAAAAACAGATTTCCTTTAAGACAAATTTTGATTTATTGACTTAAAGAAGGCCTCAGGCTGAGTACAAAATTAATTGATCGAATCCTAATATGCATATAAATTTTCTCAGCTATTTAATATTCTGTTTTAAAAGGTTCAAGAAAGTTATGTTTTTTACCTATCTTAAGTTTTTTAAGTTAAAATTTAAGTTTGTTTTTAATACTAAAGCATGAAGAATCAAACCAAAACTAGATTTTAGGAGGCCATGTTATATAGTTTCTGCAAATAAGGTAGTACTCAAATTCCTGCAGAATATAAAAGAGTAGAATATGTTACACCCAGCTAAGATACCTACTCACAGACAGGAACAGTAACAGTCGAATCATAATTTTGAAAGACAAAATAAGATTCCACTTTCAAACAACGATGGCAAAGTGATAGGATATCTTTGATAGTTTTTTGAAAAATGACTTTGTGAAAAATATTATGTTGGAGGGATCAAAACTGCATTTTCAACATATTTGTAAATCGTCGTAATTGTACTTACGAATTTCGCCATGACCGGTGATTCCGTAAGTACAGTTATGATGATTTAAAAATATATAGAAAATGCAGTTTTGAACTATCCAACACAATAAAGTCATTTTTCAAAATTTTATAATTATGTGTTTATACTTCTGGAACAGCAATATATTGATTTCCAAGGACGTAGAAATTCTTTTATGATATCAAGCTTATCTGTACTGCAGTTCTACAAGTACTACTTAGTACAAATCTATTTAACTTTGACTTAATGAACTTTGGGGGAATGATTAGTTTAGAGCACTCAACATAACCAAATATATTTTCTCTTTTTGAAGAACTTCCATAATAATTATTTTATTATCAATTTGAAATATTCTTTGAAACTGATGGAATATTTTAAATCTCGCAATAGCGGCATTTTTCGCCAAATCTATTGCGCACGAACCTAGGAGTGGATTCAAAATTGGAACCGTGAAAATGCGAGAGTGAATCTAGTGAACCTTGAGCGGTGTTGCCATTTTCATTACTCTAAATGTTATTCAAATAAGGTGTCAGCAATAAAATATTTACAGGAGAGAAAGGAAATAACTATATACATCCGGTTTTTTTAGGCGTTACGCCCGTCCGGTAGGGATCTATGGAGGAGTATCACCGAGACGCAAGCCCCTTATCTCTTGCCGTACTGCTCCACCATAGGCCTATCAGATCCCAGCATATTCTAGTCTAAGCTGCAGATTCATCTAGAATTTTAAACTGCTGCGTTAGACTTTTTGTTTTCTGTACACCGAGCTGGAGCTCGATCCCCACATCCGCTGAACCATTCGACAGTGAAGCGAATGAGAGGCAGCCGCAGAGCCCGCTGAGACTATCTGACCGACCTACAAATAACTAACTGAAATAACTAACTGGAAATAACTACAAAGCATTAAGTTTATTTTTGTTATTAGTCTGTTGTTTGTAGTAGATTGGTAAATACAATGAAAAATATAGGCACATATCCGATTTATTTAAAGATACGAAGAAGATATAACTCTCAAAAAGATCCGCAATTTGGATTATTCTACGGCGATTAGCAACATTGACTTTAGGCGTTACTCTTAGACTACGGTGCGTTCTTAAAGTAGACAGATAGTTGAACGATATTTTATACAAGGTCTATCAGCGGATATGGATTTATTTTTGTCCAAGTTTTATATTGGTCCACTATTTCAAATGCAGTTCAAATAGACGTATATTAAATTGTATGTCCCGTTTTAAATTCGTTCAATCTGTAGGCAGTTATAACATGATTTTATATGAGTGCTCTACTCCAATTGATTCTTTCATTTTTTCAATAAAAGTTATATTTTTCGTTTTTGTTTTTTACGTCAGTTATAAAATAAGAGTAATAATAATTATTCTATACCATAATAATGTTTTTACTGTTTAGGCTGTCTTTGAGCGTCTGGTAGATATAATCTGCGACAAGATGTCGGACAGTTTAGACACAGATCCAACCCTGATGAGCGGCGGAGCCAAGGGTCAGCGTTTGACGGACGCCCCTCAGGGACCTCAAGCTGCCAATTGTAACTGTTAATATACTTATATAATATTCTGATTAAATACTAAACTGTTGATACTTCGACCAGGATGTACGAAAACTAATTTTTATTTTTATTCTCATTGAGACTGACAATACGCAGGCGCAAAATCGGTTCAGGTCATCAGATATCATAACCTAACATAACCATAAAGGACCCTCAGTTTAAAAATTTATTTTGTAGTTGTATATACAGAATAGTTTATATATACTAACAGAAATAGTAAAAGCAAAAAAATTAAATTATGCTGAAATAAAAAAAAATCATTTAGGTTCATCCACGAATATGTAACATCTTCAGACAATAGTTTTGGTCAATTTTACAATGGAATTTAGGATCTTTTTTTATAAATTTTTCACAAAACTGATCAGAAGTTTGAGGCAAAGTCTTCGGTCAATGCGGAAAAACCTGGGAAAGAATGACCATTACTCAGCCTAGGCTAAAGGTGGGACGGAGCCGGTCAATCAATACTTGGTACAGATGAGGAACAGAAGCGACTAGTTATTACCACAAATATTAAGAAACATAAACTGCTTTATATTTATGGGATAAATAGTAAATATTACTTCAATTTGCAGCGAATCGTAATATATGAAAAATAATAAATAGCAGATACAACTGGCTATTTAGTCTTACACAAAATTTTGTAATTAGGTGAGGCAATGCATTAATAAACCTACCAAATTTTTGCAGTTGGATTTATGTCAATAAAAATTAATGCATTTAATTCGTAAAAGCGTTAGGAAATTTTGTGAACTAAAGTGATGATCTTGAAATGAAAATAACATTATTAAACAAAGAAAATGCATTTCCAAAGTGCATATTGAAGTAATGAATAATAAAAAATAATATGTAATTCGGAAATAATTGACTAAAATAAAGTAAGACTAAAAAATCTTACTACTATCTTACTACTCGCAGGTTTTTAGGCGAGAGAGAGCCCCACCTTCTGGAATTTTGTGTAAGTTCGATGCTTCAATGCAAACTCATTACTCGATTGTTGGAACTGGAACTTTCTTCAATATTTAAAGTCTCAAAAATTAATAATATATTATAAAACTGAACTGATATGATTTTTTCTTAAAACTTAATAAAAATCTCATTCAAATTTATACAGTACTACTTTTTAATTTATTTATAATAAATATTAATAATATTTAAGGAATAGAACAAAAAAAAAACGTGGAAAGTAATAGGTTATCGTATTAAACTAAAAAGGCGGGAAGGGTGTACAAAATGACATACATTTTTAAAAAACCGAAAATTTTACTTAAAGCTTAAAAAACTGAAAACATTTTTGTAAATAAAACTTGGAAAAAGTATTTAAAACAGTTCAGAGAAGTTTTTGACAAAGTAGGAAAAAATATAAAGTTTTAGCGAAACATATAAAAATTAACAATAAAGTTTATTTTACTCTACCTGGCGGGCAAAATAACACATTAATAGCGATTGATATCTTCAGTCGGTACAAAGCTCGCAAACAAACATTTTTGTTCCTTCTAGTACAACGCACTCAGCATGTGTTCACTTTTGACACAAAGCATAGCATAGCCATAGCTCACCTTTTTTAAACAACTTGTACAGTTCTGTATAGTAAATGCAAGCAGCATCATTATTTTCTTCATTAACAGAAAAGTTTCTCGTTCGTTTTCCGACTCGCATTCTATAAAAACATTCCTTTTTTTACCGCTCTTTTTAATTTTGAAGGGAACACTTGTTTCTAAATTTGGAGTTGAGTTAAGAATAGAAGTACCTTAACGTTTCCTTGCCTTTCTTTTTTCCTGACCGGAAACAAGTGGTCCGACTGGAACTGGACTTACATATGCCGGAATAACCACTATTAAAATGCCACGTGTTGGATTTTGTAATTTTGAGTGAACTGTCATCGCATTAGGAACTTCTATGTTAGAAGAGTTTTAGAAAATCCATGAGCAGCATTCTGGACATAAGCTACTTTTTCATAGGCTTCATTTAACAGGCCACCAATTTGGAACTGAGTCACAACTCGATCAGGATGAGCTTTGAGTAATTTGGTTATTTCTTTGTCATAATATGTTTTGTGTAGACCAAAGAATGCTACATCGAGAGGTACATCAGATGTGTATAGTGAGCAAGTAAACAAAAAAGTTTTATTCCTTAGAGAATTCTCGACATTCCATAGCCAAAAGGCATATTATCAAATACGACTTTCAAACAAAACACGTGAGTTGTGAAAAAGTCCTAAACGAATTTAAATATATTTTGGACTACAACGAAACAATTTCAATTCACTTTGTGAGATAATTCATCACGATTTAAATAATGAGCCTCTAAATTCACAAATATCAGACGCTAACATTTGAAATGACAGTTCGGGAATTTTTCTTAGTATTAACGGCTCTTTAAAATTATTTCTCTAATATCTCTTACAATCAATACAGTTTCTAAGTAAATCCACTATGCCCTTATTCATATTTATTATACATATAATATCAATTGTCTTGCTCTTTGTTGTGTTTTTGTAACCCCAAAGTGTTTTTTATGAAGCAACTTTAACATCCTATGCCGTAAAAAATCCAGAACTATACCTTTGTCCTTATTCTGTCAGGACATTACATTCGTGAGCTATTTAGTCTCATGACAATTTCCATAAAACCCCAGGCGACGACGGCCATCCTAGGCACGAGGTGCCTGGAAGATGATTGCTGTCATAATATTCGTGTTCAGCGGCCCCAAAAACCCCGAATAGTAATATTGAATTCATTGCAGTCAATTATCTTCGAATTAATAATCTATTATTTTTAATACCTACGAAATGCACTTTAAAAAACACATTTACTTGTTCAATAATGCAATTTCATTGTTACATTATCATTTTTATTTAATTTTATTTAAATTGCCTGACAATCTTACGAATCGAATGCAAAAAGTTTCATTGAGATCCAACCAAGTGAAAATATTGGTTTTAAGCTTTTTAGTGCTTCATTGCACCACCTTAATAAGAGTCGTAAAAAGCAAACCACCCATAAAGTAAGTAAACAAAAGATTAATTGGTTTAAAATTGTAAGGAAATCTCTACTTAAATTTTTATATTGTAAACATACTGTATATATAACTACAGTTCTAGTTTAAAATCCACTATTTTTTAGTTTATTTTAATTACAAAAATATTTCCTTAAAACCAATTAAATTCTTCTACTAAAACCAATATATTTGTCGTGATTTTTATTTATTTATTTATTGCTTTAAAACTGTTTTGATGACCAAACCCTTTTTCCGTTTAGATTGCATGCGTCTGTATAAATGCATCTAATTGACACAAAAGTATAATTTCTACGAAAGTAAGAGTATTAAAAAAGTTTGTAGAAGTTAACCTTTTTCCTACGAAGGTATAAAATTTTGTTTTATCGCTACCATACACTAATTATGTTAAAATCTACTTTTTGATACAACTTTTGCTCATTTTTCTAAATAAATTTAGATATGTACTCGTTAAACGCGTAGTAAAAGATCAGCAGATCAAAATGAACCATTTTTAAAAAATACGGAACTAGGAAGACAATAATTCTTTTGGACGTAAATAAATTGGAGCTGTGTATCCTGAATTTTGATACGTATTTTATTCGGTTCAAACAGAATTTAGTACCTTCAAAGCCTTAAGCCACTTTAAAATTTTAATTAACATACGCATTTCATATTTACTAACTAAACCCAACAAAACGATGTCAATACAACAAACTGTAGCATAGATTGGAAGATGTAGAAAAATGATGGAATGTTCGTAGCGATGTATCATGTCAAGCTGTTAATTTTACTAGTGTTGAACATTTAAAAAATATGGTAGATTGACCAGATGTCTATTTTAAAACCTTCAACATCAGTTATAAAAAAACCAATAAAATTCTTAACAAATAAAATATTATTTTATAATAGTGTAATGTTAATTTTAATTTATTAAATACACAATAAATTTATAAAGTTTATTTATTAAACTGTAAAATATATTTATTAGACTAACTCCCTATATTTACCCCCTATATTAATAGTACATATTATATACTTCCGCCTTAGTTTTGTAAATGCTTCCAAAATACAGTTATTTTTTCTCAACGTCACAACAGCCGCAGACCTCCATTTTAACGCCGATGTGATGTTCGAGCATGGGTGTAACAAGGGCTGGCGTAACAATAGGTTAAAGAAAAAGTTGACAGATCTGAAAATCAATGAAGATAATTGTTTATATAACCTGATAAAAACGTCTTTGTAGATATACCATTAAGGATTACTGTTCTGTACTATAAATGATAATAGTACCTCACAGATCATGGAAAGATCAGGAATAAATTTATGTCTGCTTTCAAGATGAAATCAAAAAGAATATCGGAGTATATGTTACAGCTGAACCAGACAAGTTTGTGTATTGTCCTTAACTTTGTTCAAAGTGTACTCGGGAATAATATTTAAAAAAGAATTGATAAGTGGAGAATAAATTAAGGAAAAACTATTATCAACATTATATATGCTGACGACATAGCCATTATCTGCTGAAAATATCAAAAATTATAAATTCCTCACACAAAAGTTTTTTTTTTAATTAATAAAATGCCACAAAAAATTGTTTTAGAACAATAAACAAGACGTCGGCCCAGTGCGACTTGTCAAAAATGAGACTATTACAAGTGATAACCCTTTTAAATAACTAGGATGCTGAATATTAAGGAAAATACCACACTATTAAAAAACGCAAAATCAGAATTGATCAAAAGAGAAACTAACTGGAAGAAAAATCTTTATTAAGTAAAATTAGCAGAAAGCAATTAAAGGTAATCAGAGGATAAAAGACAAAAGATTGTGAAAGAAAATATTAAAAGCTGAAAGAGTAAAGAAGTGAAGAGAAGGACGATCAAGAAAAAGTATATTAAATAACAATATAAAACTAGATAAAGTCAGAGGGATTCATCATCATCAATCAGCCAATCGCGTCCACTGCTGGACATAGGCCTCCCTCAGTTCTTTCCAGTGTTCTCTACACTGGGCCGCTTGTAGCCAGTTTCCCGCTACACGTTAAATGTCATCGGTTATCTAGTCGGTGGTCGTCCTCGGCTTCTTTTATAATTTCTGGGCCTCCATTCCATAATACGTCTTGTCCACCGTCCATCTTGTGTTCTGGCTAAGTGCCCTGCCCAGTTCCACTTAAGCGTCGTGGTTCTTTCGATGACGTCTTGAACTCCTGATCTTCGCCTGATTTGTTGGTTTGTTATGTGGTCTCGAAGGCTCACGTTCAGCATTGCACGTTCCATGGCTCGTTGTGTAACTCTAAGTTTATTCGCAGATTTTTGTGTGAGTGTTAAAGTCTCTGCTCCATAAGTTTGTACAGGTAAAACACATTGGTTATAAACCTTTCGCTTGAGACACATAGGAATTGAACTTTTTAGAATATGACAGAGGCAGAGGAATAAGTCAGAGGGATTAACTACTCAAAAACAAATATTTAATCGAAAAAATAAGAATGTGTCTATTCCCACACTAAAAATCCGACACTCATCATTAGGTGATAAAAAGAGTCAAGTGAAGAAGAAAAATGAGTCGACGGATGCTAGGTAAACAATACACTAAATTCTGATGATATAGTTTATAATTCGTGTACAAACAGTAAGGGAAGCTTTTGTAAAACTTGTACTCTACAATTCGTACCTGAATCTGAAACTAAGAATAAAAATCATAAAATTAAATGTATGTCCTACATGACTATATGAGCGTTAAATCTGGATTATAAAAGGAAATATCTTCAGTTAAAAGTTAAAAGACGTCAAGATGTTGTCTTGTTTTCAAATGGTCGAAGTATTTCCAATGCCGCTCTTCAGAATTGTCCAGCAGTATACTTCATGGTATCTACTTATATGATTAAAGTAAAGGATAGTCGATACCAGGAAGAACCTATTTCTACTGCGTGAGTAAAGCATGAAGAATAGATAAATATGTTTTTGCAAAATTTTTGTTATATCACTACAAAAATAATAAACTTTCAATTTTTTAAAGGATTCTTCCAGCGTTCCCTAGAGTACCTGTAGTTCTGCTTCTAAATCTGCATTATTTTGACTACCGCCTTATCTCTGCATCAAACAAAGTCTTCAGACGTTGACTTTTTAATCAAGTCTTCATAGTTATTTCATAAGATAGACCTTACACATCCTTGTATTACGTACCACTTACATGTTTAAAATGATTTAAATTAAAACTTAATTGAGGACTCTTGAAAGAAAGAACTGAAAAATAAATCTTTTTTGTCTGACCTGCAAAATTACTTCGGAAGTTAAAAATAAACTTAGCACTCAAACACTCGAAAGAATGGTGATAAATCATTATGATAAAGAAAAGACAAACTATATGAATAGAGAACATATACTGGATAAAACATGTTGTTAAAAGAGGGGTAGAAATCTACAGCATGAGGAAAAAGTAGGAAAAAGCTCAAAATACTAAAAAAGGGAACAAACTTAAGATAAACAAGTAATGCCAGCTCCAAGAAGAGGATGTGTTTTTAGAATCTTGTTTGTCCAGATATAGACATTTTCTAGTTAATGATTTATGTTTGGTATTGCTTTAAATATAATTTATCTCTGGAATAGATTCCTATACCGTGAAGTGGACAAAAATGTTTATATAAAAAACTCACTTTAATAAAATTAGTTAGAAATCTTTAATTAATAATGTGGGCTTACTTGTAACGCATGATTTTACATCTGTTTTATTTCCTTTATAATTTAAAAACTAAGTTTTTCGGAGAGTCTGAATCCATAAGTTTAACAAGGAAAAATTTTTACTTTTGTTTATTTCCAATATAATTTTTAAAAGACGATAATTTAAAATTTAAAAAGTATTTTTGTAATAAAAGTCTTCATAAAAAAGATTTTGATTTCACATTTATTAACAATTTTGTTGGTTTCATCCATAAATACGAAGTTTTAAAATAAACAAATAATATATTTAGAAATATTATCCAAAAGAATATGTTAAATCGGAGGCATATAAAACTGATTAAACTATCTTAACACCCAAATAATCTGCAATTCAGCCTATTTTCTATTTTCATATAAGAATAATTTAAAAATGAAAATTCTGAGTATGTCTGAGCTCTGTAATCCAACTAGCTCTTAATATTTATTTAACAAAAACAAAATTATACCATTTACTGAGTAAAAAATTCCGAAAAGGTAAATTTTCTTATTAATCGATCAGTGATACGTAATTTTTGGTTTCGAACCATAGTTGTAAATGGATACAAACAAAAATGGAAGTACCAGACCAATGAAAGAGTTGTAAAGGACTTAGAAGAAAATAATGTCAGCGGTAAACTGTTTAGAAACCTAGAAAATGCAGACCAGTGGTTTAAATTGACAATGCATCTTTGGAAAATCACTTGACAGAACTATGTACATGCAAAAAAGCACCGAAGACAAAAAAATTGCAACAGAAAACATGAGAGATAATGTATTGAGATGTAATGAGATGAAGAATATTGGAAAGAATAATCTTCAGAAAAATTATGAACCCGATAAAAATGGAAAACGGAGAAACGAGCAGAAAAATAAACCTTGAAATAAGAGACATAATAAAGGAAGAAGATATAGTTCTATTCAATAAAGCTTAGAGATTAAGGTGGATGTTACATATAAAGAAAAGGAAAAACGATACACTGCTTAAGAAAATAACCCAATGAAAACAGAAACTGAAAGACCAACGAGAAGATCTAGAGAGATATGGGAGAACCAGTTATAAAAAATATTAAAATCCAAAAAAAAAAGAAACTAAAGTGACTTATGCACAGATCGAAATAAGTGAAAGAAAATTGTAACGAAAGTCAAGTTATACAACAAACTTTGTCGCAGCGGCATCACAGTGCCACAGCTATTTAGTTGCAGGAGAAAGACAGGTGAGAGCGTCGTCAGTAATACACTATTACGTAGCACTGACATGCTGTGACGACATTGTACCATAGCTGGTTCATTCTTATGTTTTTCAGTATCAAGATATGACGATACGGTTACATAACTGTCTAACGCTGTGACGATGCTGTTCGGTAGCTGGGTTTCTGGTCCATTAAAGCAAATTTCAAAGGGTCACGAAGTATCTTATTATCTAAGAGTCCAAACATCCCTTTAGATAAGGTTGATTTAAAAAACTAACTTTTTAAAAAAACAGTATATTCCAAACTAATTACCTAGCAACAACATATATTTAATCGACCTAGAAATGGAGTATGTTATAGACGTTTATCCCATGAGCGTAAAATGGGTCGAGATCACTAAATCTCTGAAATTACAAGACGAATAAAATTAGGAAGAGCGGATTTCATTAAGCTGATTCTCAAAAAAAAGAAGGTTTTTGGACAGTTCATGGTCTCAGTGTTAACCTATAGTAACAGGTTTTTATGGATTTGAGTATTTTGTTAAATATAATAATTACAGTTTCAATGAACTTTAAAAATTATATATCACTGATCACCTAACATCAATAAGTGTCCCAGATTGACACATTTTGATACTACTTTGGCACTTTATGTGAAGTAATTGTTTTTCCAGTAATACAGTAATTGTAATTTTGTAAAAAGTTCCAAGTACTGAATTCTAGGATAGTGGGGCTCTAACTTGCTGTAAATTTAGGAGTAACTGATCTCTTACAAATTTTACAGATAAGAATGTTGAATCCATGTATGCAAGTTAAGAAAAAAAAAGTAACAAATTAAAATAAACTTTGGAAATTTATCACATTCTTTTGGAATTTTATTACTATTATGACTTTTTTGTTAACCATACTAACACTTACAACAAGACTCTGGTATTTTCGAATTTGATTGGAAACTGCAATCAAATTGCTCTTCAAAGTCAATCTCAGCCACTCAAATAGGAGGTTTGTCAAAAATGAAACAACTATATTTAAAAATTTAAAAGTTTATATATCCTTCTGGACATTTT